TCGGGGGTGGTCGTGCTGGGGGGGTGGTCGTGCTGGGGGGTGGTCGTGCTGGGGCGTGGTCGTGCTGGGGCGTGGTCGTGCTGGGGCGTGGTCGTGCTGGGGTGTGGTCGTGCTGTGGTGAGGTCGTGCTGGGGTGTGGTCGTGCTGGGGTGTGGTCTTGCTGGGGTAGGGTCGTGCTGGGGTCGGGTCGTGCTGGGGTGTGGTCGTGCTGGGGTATGGTCGTGCTGGGGTGGGGTCGTGCTGGGGTGGGGTCGTGCTGGGGTCTGGTCGTGCTGGGGTGTGGTCGTGCTGGGGTATGGTCGTGCTAGGGTGGGGTCGTGCATTTCGCTCGAGACATCCTGCCAAAATTCCAGGAAATCGTACAAAAACAAACGAATTAGTCGAGACATCATCGAAATTCCTTCGCGCGGGGCGCTTTTCCGCGTCGCGGTCGGCTCTGCAAAACAAGCGTTTCGCTCGAGACATCCTCAGCAAACTCTGCGGAGCAAGCGTTTCGCTCGAGACATCCTCAACACACGAAAAAGTGGCCCGCACCCTGTGATTTATCGATCGGGATTTCAAAAACAAGCGTTTCGCTCGAGACATCCTCAAAATTTAATTCGCCGGCCTCCTTCGACCTCGATATTTATCAGGGAAAAAATTCGCCGGCCTCCTTCAAGTTGGGCACCGGGGACATGTTTACATACTAAAAGAGAACCCTGGGCCCGCGCCCTTTCCGGGAAAAAAAAACATGAATCGATCCACGAAAACCCGGGAAAAGGAATAAGAACTGTAAATAATGGCATGCGTTTTCCAAAGACACCTGATTGGGTGTGGCAAATGCAATGCTGGCTGATTGTATCGATCTGAGGATACCGTGCGAGGGGCATGGTGCTGTGCTGCCGTGCTGAATTGCGATGTGCCATGCCGCGATTGTGCTCTATAGCGTCATGGATCGAGTCCTCCTTTTCATCCGAGTCCTGACCGAACTGATCTGGATCGTAAGCTCGAGCTGCCTGAACACATAGTAGCTGCCCCAGAGCTGATGGACAGGGGAGCATGTCAGGAGGACGCGCCGCGAAACGTCCAAGGGATGCGCCAGGCGACGTGCCAGGGGACATGCCATGGGGTCGCACCGCGGGACGAGCCAAGGGGACGCGCTACGGAACGTGCCAATGGATGTGCCACGGGATGTGCCAGGGGACGCGCCACGCGACGTGTCAGGGGGACTCGCCAAGGGACGCCCCGCGGAACGTGCCGAGGAACGTGCCAAGTTGCAATGCTGAGTGTATCGATCTTGATGTACCGTGCCGAGGGCTGTGCTGTGTTGCGCCGTGCTGAATTGCGATGTGCCATGCCGCGGTTGTGCTCTATAGTTTCGTGGACCGAGTCCTCCTTTGCATCCGAGTCCTGACCGAACTGATCTGGATCTTGAGGCTCGAGCTGCCTGAACACATCGTAGCTGCCCCAGAGCTAATGGACAACGGGACATGCCAGGAAGACGCGACGCGGAACGTCTCAAGGGACGCGCCAAGCGACGTGCCAACGGACGTGCCATGGGAACGCACCGCGGGACGTGCCGAGGGGACGCGCTACGGAAGTGCTGGGGACAAGCGTTTCGCTCGAGACATCCTGCCCAAATCATGAGAATTCCTACGCGCGGGACGCGGCACGCGCGAGACATCCTCGGAATCCCTGCGAGCGGGACGTGAAAACAAGCATTTCGCTTGAGACATCCTCTGAATTCTGGCCCCCCACGAAGCCCCCGCTCGAGACACCCCCAAATTTTGCAAAACCAGCGTTTCGCTCGAGACATCCTCAACAAATTATGAACATGATGGACCCACGAACCCGGAAAGGGATATAGACATGCGCAGCATGGTCACGTTTTCACGATACCCAACGGGGCAACATCTCACAAAACATCCCACGAGACACCTCACAAAACATCCCACGAGACACCTCACGAAACATTCCGCGAGACACCTCACGAAACATTCCAGGAGACACCCCGCGAAACATTCCACGAGACACCCCACGAAACATTCCACGAGACACCCCGCGAAACATTCCACGAGACACCCCACGAAACATTCCACGAGACACCCCACGAAACATTCCACGAGACACCCCACGAAACATTCCACGGGGGTGCGACTGGGTGTGGTCGTGCTGGGGTGTGGTCGTGATGGGGTGTGGTCGTGCTGGGGGGGTGGTCGTGCTGGGGGGTGGTCGTGCTGGGGCGTGATCGTGCTGGGGCATGGTCGTGCTGGGGCGTGGTCGTATGGGTGTGGAGTCGGCTGTGGTGAGTAGTGATGGGGGTGCTGGGTAGTGATGGGGTGGGGTACTTGATGGGTGTTGTTTTTTGTTCGCCAGGAAGCCGTTGTATGATGCGCCAGTGGATTCCGACAGTGGGTTCGTGATGGTGCGGGGGCGTTCTGGGGTGTGATCGTCGAGCGGGTGTGAGGGTCGCTCGGGTGGTAGTGCATGGCGCTCAGCAGTACCTGGGGAGTGGTTAGAGTGCTGGGGTGTGGTCGTGCTGGGGTGTGGTCGTGCTGGGGGGTGGTCGTGCTGGGGGGTGGTCGTGCTGGGGGGGTGGTCGTGCTGGGAGGTGGTCGTGCTGGGGAGTGGTCGTGCTGGGGCGGGGTCGTGCTGGGGCGTGATCGTGCTGGGGTGTGGTCGTGCTGTGGTGAGGTCGTGCTGGGGTGTGGTCGTGCTGGGGTGTGGTCTTGCTGGGGTGGGGCCGTGCTGGGGTGGGGTCGTGCTGGGGTGTGGTCGTGCTGGGGTGTGGTCGTGCTGGGGTGTGGTCGTGCTGGGGTGGGGTAGTGTTGGGGTGTGGTCGTGCTTGTCGTGCTGGGGTGTGGTCGTGCTGGGGTGTGGTCGTGCTGGGGTGGGGTCGTGCTGGGGTGTGGTCGTGCTGGGGTGTGGTCGTGCTGGGGGGTGGTCGTGCTGGGGGGTGGTCGTGCTGGGGGGTGGTCGTGCTGGGGGGGTGGTCGTGCTGGGAGGTGGTCCTCAGAATTCAGGTCCCCAGGAGAGGACAATCTATAACACCAAACAAGCGTTTCGCTCGAGACATCCTCACCATTTTCTGAAAAACAAGCGTTTCGCTCGAGACATCCTCAAATTTTAATTCGCCGGCCTCAAAAACAAGCTTTTCGCTCGAGACATCCTCAAATTTTAATTCTCGGGCTCGTTATTTATCAGGGAAAAATTCGCCGGCCTCCTTCGACCTCGTTATTTATCAGGGAAAAAATTCGCCGGCCTCCTTCAAGCAGGCACCGGGGGACTAGGTTTACCTACTAAAAGAGAACCCTGGGCCGGAGCCCTTTCCGGGAAAAAAAAACCAGCGTTTCGCTCGAGGCACCCTGTCAAAATCCAAAGAAATCCTCTGGCAAAACAAGCGAATTAGTCGAGACATCCTCAACTTTCCTGCGCGCGGGACGCGGCACGCGCGAGACATCCTCGGAATTCTTGCGAGCGGGACGTGAAAACAAGCATTTCGCCTGAGACATCCTCTGACTTCTGGCACCCCACGAGGCACCCGCTCGAGACATCCCTCCAATTTTGCAAACCAACGTTTCGCTCGAGACACCCTCAACAAATGATGAAATTACCTGCGCCCGCGCTCCCAGGGCCACGATCCCTCGTAAATTACGCTGCGCCCGCGCTCCCAGGGCCGCGATCCCTTGTAAATTACACTGCGTCCGCGCTCCCAGGGCTACGATCCCTAGTAAATTACACTACGCCCGCGCTCCCAGGGCCACGATCCCTTGTAAATTACGCTACGTCAGCGCTCCCAGGGCCACGATCCCTCGTAAGGGCTCCTGGGCCCTCCTGGGTCTTCCTTGGACCTCTTGGGCCCTCCTGGGCTCTCCTGGAGCCTCCTGGAGCTTCTCCTGGGCCCTCCTTGGGCCCCCTGGTGCCTCTTGGAGCCTCCTGGGTCCTCCTGGGCCCTCCTGGGCTCTCCTGGGCCCTCCTGGGCTCTCCTGGGCTCTCCTGGGCTCTCCTGGAGCCTCCTGGGCCCTCCTAGGCGAAGTTAAGGTCCGAAAACACATGGGACTTGCCACATTTCTGAAATTCGGTGCCACCCCTCACGCAGGTCGGCTGGGTCAGGATCCGAAAACACATGGGATTTGCCACATTTCTGAAATTCCGTGCCACCCCTCACGCAGATCGGCGGGGTCAGGATCCGAAAACACAGGGGATTTGCCACATTTCTGGAATTCCGCGCCACCCCTCACGCAGATCGGCGGGGTCAGGGTACAAAAACACAGGGGATTCGACACATTTCTGGTATTCCGTGCCACACCTCACGCAGATCGGCGGGGTCAGGGTCAAAAAACACAAGGGATTTCTGCTATTTCCGAACTTATGCAATTTCAAGAATCCAAAACTCCGTTCCCAGCGCCGTTCCGGAAGCCGCGGTACCTCGTTATTTATCAAGCGAACGCGTTTACCTTGTT